AATCCCATTACCATATATAACCCTTATATAGTCATTATATAACCCCTATATCCCTAGGTAGTCCCCATATTAACCCCCATAGGCTACAAGGGTCCCTATTAGGGGTCCCTCCTAAAGTCCTTAGAATCTCACTCCAAGACTTTGGACATTTAATTCTTTAAGCTGCTGATACGGACGCTTCCAAAAAACGGGGTCCGCCTTCGAGGAGTCCCCAGAATGAAGGGTTTAGGGTTGAAGGGTTTAAGGGTTTAGGTTTTACGGTTTAAGGGTGTAGGGTTTAGGGTTCTGAGAGGGGACCCCCCCCCATGTTTGGGCATACCTATGTAATCCTCCCTATCCCTAAACCCTACACCCTACATTCTCTAAGGGTAGCACGGTTTTGACAAACCTCCAATCTGCAACTGATGAGAAATTTGGGCCGAAGGGCTCCTTAGTTCTTCTGCATGGAAGCATGCTTGGGGGCTCACCCGAGGGATCTAGATAGTCTACCCAAGGGCTCCAATGTAGTTCCTTTTTTGGTCTGTTATGGTTTTTGAGTAAGGGATCATAATATACTACCCGAAAAGGAACTACATAGGAGGGTATGGGTAAAGAGGCTTTATGTATATAGTGTAGGGAGCAACGTGGGTATTAGCATTGTCTCTAGGATTAGAGCCCCAGGACTAGAGCTCACGGCTTACGCCTTACGAACTCAAAGTGGCCGGGCGGTATGTTTGGCTTGGGTAGGTAGAAACTGGGATTTAGCATGGGAAAAGGCTTGACGTGTTCGTTGTCTGTTCCTTCCACACGTGATCTTCCCCATGGCGGTGATGCAACTCGTCAGTTCGGATGTACAGGTCTCGACATCGAACAGCTTCCGGGTCACACAGGCTTCACCGCGCGTTTTGTTCAACGCGTTGGGCGTTTGAACGTCCTTGTTAAACATTACAATGCTAGAAGCTCTATTTTGGTTTCCTTCTGGCCCTAACATTGCTCCAGATAAGCTCAGAAACCTAAATGACACGGTAGTGTAGTTTCCGTCTTTTTTCCTAACGTCAGAAGTATAGGCCCCGAATATCGGCCCTAATGCCTGTTAGGGGGATTCTAGGGACCTAGGGAGACTGAAGATCCCCATGTATGCCGATATATCCCTGTCTAACCCCTATGTTAGACCCGACCTGTAACCCTAGTTACCTACAGTTTTTTGGGTCAGGCCCAAAAATCAAGAGCTAATTACCGACAAGCTGTAGGTAATTGGGGTTACAGGTAAACCCTGAACATAGCTCGTGTCCGACGCCTGGGCTTTCAGCGGAAAGCGGTCCAAGCCCGGTGACCTCTAATTTGGGAGTTTGACCTTCTAGCCATGGCGGACCCTCGACCCGGATTCAGTTATATAGCGGTTATGTAGGGATGACGGAAAAACAAAATGGAAACTACAATTTAAGGCTTAGGCTTCAGGTTTGAGAAACTCAGAGACTGAGAGTTGCGGATGGCGCAGGTCGGCTTTTGCGCTACTAAAGCCTCCCCTTAAGTAGATAGACTATGGGGTATGTGGGGATTTTAGTGTAGTATACCCAAAACCATATTCTGTCTACTTAAGGGGGATTATATGTTTGGGGTTTAAGGTTTTTTCTGTTTCTTGGGGTCTTGAGTGTTGGTTTCTGCTTGTCGTTGTTAGCCTAAACCCTCATCCGTACCACCAGTTTAGGGTTTAGGGTTTGTAGTTTGGTACCTCAAACCCTAAACTTTGCTGTCCAGGACAAGTCGGAGAACCCCATGCGGCAGATCCGCGTCGAGAAGCTGGTGCTCAACATCAGTGCCTGGGCAAAGGGTAGGGTGTATAGTCCCCTCTACGTCCAGGGAATCTAGGGTATATTTTTGGGGTCATATAAGGCTGATGGAAAAGAAAATGGAAACTACTATTGAGGGGTTTGGGTTTTGGGTATATAGTCCCCCTGAAGTAGATAGAATATGGGGTATATGGGGATCTTATCATACTTTACCCAAGGCCATATTCTATCTACTGAAGGGGGACTATAGGGTTTGGGGTTTTAGGGTTTCAGGGTCTTGGTTTGCAAGCTAACCCTAAGGGTCCAAGTACCTAACAGTCATAACTAAAACCCTATAATAAATTGATCATTGGGTATTTGGACCTTAGGGTAAGGTTTTTTCTGGGATTCAGGGCTTCCGGGTTGGTCTGTCTTTTCTTGAAAAATCTTTGCCCCTTGTTTAGGGATTAGGGTTTGAGGTTTGGGGTTTAGGGTTTATGAGCAACCCAGGTGTTGGCGAGAGTGGTGACCGCCTGACCCGAGCGGCAAAGGCACGAGGAGCATTGTCATCCATAGCTCTCCCAGTAAGAGTTAGATGTTCGTTATGTTCGATAGCTAGGCATACCTAAACCCCAAAAGTATGTAAAATAATGGCCTTTAGGGCTATTATTATGGGTTTAGGGCCATTATTTTACGTATTTTGGTGGTTTAGGTAGAACCCAATGGTAACCTCATCACAGATAGTCATTGGAAGTGGGCAGTGCTCAACTGGGAAAGCCTTCAGCTTCATGAGAGCTGTAGTCTAAACTCCTAGTATCCCCCTTAATGGCCCCTATACTACTCCTCTAATATAATCCCCTTTATAACGCCCCTAAACCCTAAATAAAGGGGGTTGTATAATCCACTATATAACTCCTTTTAGGAGTTAATAGGACCCCTATATAACTTCGTTTAGGAGTTAAGACTGTAGCTAGTGAGGTGCTCGAGCAGCTCACCGAGCAGCAGCCCGTGTTCTCCAAGGCCCGCATGACCATCCGCCAGTGGAGCGTCCGCCGCAACCTACTGGTGCTTAAGGGGTTTAATGGGTAATATTGGAGATTATTAGGGTTTATGGATTTGGGTGTAGGGTTTAGGGATTAGGGTGTAGGGTTTAGGGTTGAGGGTGGGTGAGTGAGTAGAGGTACCATGGTACGGGTAGATAGGGTTCATTATCGGGATTCACCCCAGCTCTCCCTTAAGCACCAGTAAGGCAACGAGAAGATCGCATGCCACGTCACCGTCCGCGGCGAGAAGGCCGAGGAGATTCTGGAGAAGGGTCTCAAGGCGATTCGGTTGCTACAAATGAGTAGTATTTTATTTGGGGATACTATGATACCCAATATAGAGTAAGATTATATCCTCCTTTTGGGGTATAGTTTTTTATATGAGGAATAGTATCTTACTAGGTTCAACCACCAAAAAAACACTGCTCAAATGACGTTTCCACCACAGAAACTATAGCAATGTAGAAAAAGCAATTCGAAGCTCCCCCATGATGGTATTAGAGTATGTAAGTAAATTCTAGTGCTGTAGCAGCAACCGAGGTGAAGGAGTACGAGCTCCGCAAGAAGAACTTTGCTCGCAACGGCAGCTTCGGCTTCGGCATCACTGAGCACATTGACCTGGGCATCAAGTACGACCCGGGTACCGGCATCTACGGCATGGACTTCTACGTCCACTTGTCTCGCCCAGGCGGCCGGGTGCAGTACCGAAAGCTCCGCCGCGGCAGGGTCGGCGCCTCGCACAGGCTCAGGAAGGAGGATGGCATGAAGTGGCTTCTCGGCCAAATTGTTTCTTGTTCGAGCCTCCAGACTACCTCTAGATGCCAGGGCACGAGATATGAAAGTCAGTTGTTGGCCGCGACATTATCTACAGGCAAGAACAGTGCTGCAGCAGCGCTAATCGCCACCTCAGGAACCGTAAGAGGCAATGTGTGAGAGTGGGTGACAAGGTGTGGTATCATGGAGGGCTTTAAAGACTGCAGGCCGGCTATTTCCTCTGCCCTCACCTCAGGCTTCGTCTGATTTCTTTTTTGTTTTACTGGCATCCTCGAAAGTTACCAGGAGTATGAGAGGCCCAAAAGATAAGGTCTAGCCAAAACAGACACTACTCATTTGGCATTTCTGCGTGCCGTAGAACAATCGGGGAAGAAAACAAGATTAGCTTTTTCTCAGCTTTGCTAAAGAAAGCAGTGGTGAACCCAAGGACATCCTAGGCTCCTTTTTTTTAGGAGCCCTAAACCCTAAATCCTAAACCCTGAATCCCAAACCCTGAAGCCAAAATCCTAAACTAGGCTTGCTATCAGTTTCTAGTCCCCCCTCTATGGCTATCTTTACTCAGCGCCAAGCACGCCAAGAGGTCCATCCTTGAGTCCTCACGGTTTGAGGTTTTTTAGAGATGAGGGCTTCCTTTTCTGTGGTCCGCATATGAACCAAAATCCAAACTCCTTAAAGGGATTATATAGTGTACTACTATGGGGGTTATTCAGGGGGGATGCTAGGAGTTTGGACTATGGCTCATATGGGGCATATATACGAGGGGCACCCCATTTTTCAAACGACCATTTGAGCTTAGGTTCCAGACTAAGTACGACGGCATCCTTCTCAACTGAGCAACTGGGCCCAACAGTGGTGCATCAGACGGTTTACAGGGTATTAATCACTGAGCCACCTAGAGATGGTGAGGTGTGGGGCTCAATGGTCAGGATTTGAGAGCCACTGGGCCTGACTGTATGCGTATACTGGGTGTTTGCATTGATAAGGTTTATTTCAGGGCGGCATACTGGGACAGGATACTAGGTTAGGGACTCCCCAGCCACTGTCTCCAACGCCCAGTGTCGGTTGCGCACGATTCCTTACAGATTGAAGTTGTGAAGTGCCAAGCACTGCTAGGTTCCCCCAACAGATTTAGGGTTTAGGGTTTAGGGAGAGATTTAGGGAACCTGGCAGTGATTAGCATTTCACAATGCTCAGCACTCAAGCAATGATTAGTTCCCTAGACAATCTTGTCTGAAGCTCTAACTGTGGTGTTCCCAGCTTTTCTATGAGGGGGATTGCAAAGCATCCTGTCTTTAGCCACCAAGGCACATGACATTTTATGAGCAACTTGAAGACACGAATTCCAGCTTCTGAGCTTACTTTGAAACATCCACTTACAGGGGATTATATAAGGGATTATATAGGGGGTTACTGTAGGGTGTATTAAGGGGGATACTAGGAGTTTAGACAATGGCTCAAATGGTGGATGGAACCTTTTCTGCAGCACCCTTGGCATCCGAAATCCTATAGAAATTGGGGCAAGATTTCCTCTAATCCTGTTACACCAGCTTCCATTTCATGCTTTCTTTTCCAATTGGTTCTCCAAGATTGCGATAATATCCCTAAACCCTATATACTTTAACCGCCATCAACAACAGCATCACCCTGACCACTAATAAAACGCCGTTATATACCCCATTGTACTACAGTAGTTTCCATGTTCGTTACCATCATGCGTATCTAGCCGGAAATACCCTGTACAACCCCTATATAACCACGTATATTAATATAGCCCGACATCATCCCCCTTTCATTCCAACATACCCCATAAAATCCTTAGCAATCAGTCTGCAAAACAACAGCAGGTCAGACATGGCCAGGCGCTCTCCCACGCACATCCCAAAGAGTCAGGGCTTGCGACGAAAAGTGGACGAGCAGGGTTTAGGGTTTAGGGTTCACAATTGTTTGGGGTTTCTAGGTTTTTGCCGGTGTTTATAAAGTCTTCAGAGGGACACTGTGTGTGTTTTGGCAAGGGTTTTCAAATTCCCTAGAAAGACACGGAAACCCTAAACCCTAACTGGCTTCTTTTTTTGGGTGCAGGTCCGCTTCCGGATATGTTGCAGGTAGCAAGAGAGGAGTATAATCAGACGTATTTAATGGTCCAGCAACGGTTGACACGGAGCTACTGTTCAAGGTTTGGGCCAGGAAACCCTAAATCCTAAACCCTAAACCGTAAACCTTAAACCCTAAACCTATACCTACCCTGAATCCTACAACCCTAAACCCTACAGCCCTGATGTTCGACTTGGAGGAATCCAAGGATTCCACTTATGACAATGGCTCAAAAGTCACGCCGTTGTAGGATCTCTTCTCCAGTGGGAAGACACAATCCTTGTAAGTAGAGGGGGTTTCTACGAGGAGTTCCATGCTTTTGGTCGCGGGGGATGGGAGTACGAGTTGCTAATTCTGCGCGGGCCTGCTGGTTCAACCCCTTAAGACCAAGCCGTGGTCCCAGAGTCCTTGTATACTCAAACCGATCTCAAATGATGTCGGTCAGTATTTAGATTTTTCATGCCCAAGTCTGAAGCATGGGGTCATTTTGCCCAAGCTTCGCTTCAGGTCTACCATCCGTCCGCGTTGATATCCAAGTTCCCTTTGACTTTGCCACGTGCTCGGACTTTGCTGTAGAGAGCCTGCATGACTGTCCCTGGGAGCTAAGGGCCCTCTTCCAGCATAATGTGTAAGAAGTGCTGCGACAAGCTCACACACTGGTGGAAACAGCTAGGCTAAAGGCAGAGATTGGAGGCAATTGTTTGGAGGTTTCCAGAGACGAAGGTCTCCTTTCTGTTTGTGCTAAGAATGAAGATTACGCAGCATGTTGAGGATTATGTTGGGGTCTCCGATGCATGGAAACTATGGTTTGGTGCACAACTCTCATGAAACTCCCGACAAAAGGTATTTACCTGCTGGTCGCATTGTGTTTTGTCCCAGGTGCTCCGTCCAGACTATGCGAATCCAGCCCCCGATTTCCTTAGGAAAAATCTCCACTGTCTAATTTTGAAGTGGGCCAATGGCATACTTTTTTCAAGGTAGGAAAGACTCAATGGGCTTTCAGGGTTTTGGAAGTTTAGGGTTTCGACTCAAATTACGAACAGCTTACAACCTACAACACCTGTTAAGAAACAGTCGTATTTTGTTGTGATATACACACCTAGACCCTCCAACTACCCCCTATTAGGCCGAAGCACCCAATATTAGGGGCCATACAACCCCAATTAAGGGTACTACCCTGAACCCTCAACCCACTAGGCTCCTGGTAGCCTTCTCTTGGCCTTTGCCTTTGAGGTTGGGGTGCGTGGTTACTTCCTGGAGTACAGCGTGCGCCCCTCAGAACTGTGTGGTAATCGGCGTTCATCTCATCCTCCTGATAATGAACCGCAAACCCTCCTAATCAGCATTCCCATTTCAGCATGTGAGATGATACCCTGGGGGAATTACTTGTTTTTCTTACAGAGAGTGCTTGGTGCTTCATACCTTTTAACACTCCCCTACCCAAAACTAACAATGAAAGCCTACGAATACAGCTCCCTTCCAAAAGGACAGCAGTCTATTCAGGGCCTCCTCTGAGGTTCATTCCATGGGGATTAGGGTTTAGGGTTTAGGTTAGGGTTAATGGTTTAGGGTTTAGGCTAGGGTTTAGGTTAGGGTTTAGGGTTTAGGTTAGGGTTAATGGTTTAGGGTTTAGGTTAGGGTTTAGGTTAGGGTTTAGGGTTTAGGGGTTTAGGGGTTTAGGGTTTATGGATAATCTTGCTAAAATTCGACGGCAACAGGGTTCAGGGAGGTTTCCATGATTGCAAGGCATCAGGTATCCAAAAGGTCCGTGTAGATACGTCGTAGATATTCATTGTGCCCAAGAGGGTTCCCTTTCCAATAGTTGGAGTCGCTCACATATACTGCCCAAAAGACCCCTTATCTGTGGAAACCCTAAACCATAAACCCCAGACCCTAAACCCATAGGCCCTAACATGCTGTACTTAATCCTTTTTATGTGAGATATAGCTGAACTCCTCAAAGGTGTTATAGGGGAGGATTTTAGGGTCTATCAAGGGGGATACTAGGAGCTTAGAGTTTAGACTATAGCTCATGTGACCTCCCCCAAAAAGGGACCCCTGATCTTCGGAAACCTCCATACCGTGAAGTGTCTAAGAACATCTTCCGATGGCTGGCAGTCTATCAACCAAACTGTATCTGGGTTACCGACTTGAGTTACCATAAAACGGATATGTAGTAAGAAGCAGGGTTCTGTTAGAGCAGTAATTCGACTTAAGGACTAAAGTAGCACACCAGTGATTGTTTCGGGCCTCGGGGCGGATGACGTGGAATCCTCCCAAAAAAGGGGTCTACAAAAACTACGGTCCCTGTAAGAGGAGGGTCTTGACTGAGGTTCCATGTCCATTGCTTAGGGTTTAGGATGTGGCTGTGTGCGAGCCCAGATGGAAACAAAGGGGCTTATATACCATGTTTCAAGACTGACATACACATGTCAGAAATCCGCTCTTCGATGCTGCTGCGTCCCTTCTCCTGGGGTCGAACACCTGCGGCAGATGCGGCTTTAGGTCACAATGCACGCGGGAATTGCCGGGTCCTCACATCATCCTATACTAGACCAGGCTACACCACACTGAGTCTAAACTTCGAACTCTCAACCAGTTTCTAAGACCCTCTGACCCATAATGTAGAATGTAGAAAGGGTGAAAAGTGATTAACTCTAATATTTCGGTCATGCTCAATGTACTGAGAAAAGTAGTATTTTACAACTTCAAGCCCATAACACTCAAGCCCATAAGCCCTGAGCCCCTAATCACGCATCTTTACGGTCCTCAGCTATAGATCCCTATGTAACATATAACCCGATATTACCCTAACATACTCCTAGCCTCCCTAAACCCTAAACTCCTTGTGTCTTCCACTCAGTTATCGGCAGACGACTTGGCTGATGACTGCCGTGGCGGTGCCTCGCAGTCTGAGTGGGATGAGGAAAACCCTGCCAGGAGCGCCCTGAAGATACCATTTTAGGGCTTAGGGTTTAGGGGTTTAGGGTTCTGGGGTTTAGGCGTTTTGGGGTTTTATGGCTTAGGGTTTACGGTTTAGGGTTTAGGGTACCAGTAGTATCACTCTACTATACCAATGCTGATACTTATTATTCTTACTATTTTTGTTCTCAGGGTTCCAACTGCTGGATATGTTGGTATTCGAAAAAGATGGGGTGCTCCCCCTTATGCACCGCAACGCTCTGTGAGCCTTCTGGTAGTGAGGCTCCCAACAGGGACCCCCAGTTTACGGAGACCGCCATAACTGGGTTGTCCTTTGGGATTTTGTTCTCTCATTATTTGGTAGAGAAACAAATTAGTGAATAATTTTCCAAAGACTTAAAGGCCAACCCAAAGAATGAGGGTTTGGGGTTAGCGTGTTTTTTGTTATGTAAGGTTCTTAACATGGATGAGGAGAATCTTCCTTTCTGGAGGCTTTCTGCAAAGCACCCTAAACCCTAAACCCTCAACCCTTTCGCAGGACCTACTTCACGCAACTCGGCTTTGGCATGTCTGCCGAAGGCCGTAAGCGTGAAATCTTCCGGTGTGGGTTGATGGGTTCATGGGTTTAGGGTTTAGGGTACTCTTCCCGGATAGAAGCCTCATGGTACACTGTACCCCAACACCTTTGCTCTAAGTATTAAAGCCTAATTCAGGCTTTACAACCCCCTTGACCCTTGAATGCCTTAAACTTCTAAACCCTTAAGCCCGTAAAGCCTAAACCCTAAACCCTTGGTAATTAGGCCTACTTCAGGCTGAAACCCTAAGCCCCGGACGCCCTGCGCCTGAACAGCAGGTCTGGACTGTGAGCGCGTGGGCCCCATGCGAGATGAAGGACATCTCGATGGGGATTGTACAGGGCTTAGGGTTTAGGGGTTAAGGTGTAGGGTTTCGGGTATAGGGTTTAGGGCTTAGGGTATAGGGTTTAGTGTATAGGGATTATAGGGTTTATGTAGGGTTTATGTAGGGGCTATGTAGTGACTATATAGGGTTTTCTAGGGGTCGTATAGGGACTAGGGACTATAGAGGGTTTAAATAGGGGTCATATAGGGCCTATATAGGGTTTATGTAGGGGCAATATAGGGACCATATAGGATTTATATAGGGATTAGATAGGGTCAATAGGGTTATCTAGAGGTTTATATAGCTACAGGCCTACAGGCCTCCTCTTTGTCTAAGGCAGCTACTTGATGGAGGGAGCTTGTACGAGCACGCAGACCCTGTATTTATATTATATATACATACACATACGTGTACATATGTATATACATATGTTACCCCCCTGTCCCAAGACCTACCTTTTTAAGAGCCTTATCCCGCTTAGGCAGGGTTTTTCCCAAAACAAGTGCATAGTATGTACCATGGTCTCCAAATACATGCATATAGACTCTGTGCCTATTGGAAACTCCTCTCATCAACTTGGTCCTCTTTCGTATAGTTGCTCGTGACTTACAGTCTCGGGCCCGCACTTTGGACCAAAGATCAGCCTTTTTGAGAAGGGCACCTGCGTTACATACACCCTCATGGTGGCCCTGCCCATACAAGTCTTATTCGAATGGTTACAGCAGATTTGGGGCGCTGGCAAGCTTTAATTAAACCGAAGGAGCCAAAGGGGTTTTCATTCCGCTTGTCTACTACCTGATTCGGGGAGTCAGAGGAATGATGGCCTGGTATATCATGGTTTGAGGGCGGTTTGTTCCCTAAGACCTTCTGAATCTGGCTAGGGGGGCTCCCGACTGTCTCTTGAGTTAAAGTATACGATACCCCAATAATAAGAACTGTCCCACTGTTCAGAGTGCTTTAGCTTCCCAGTGCTTGTGCTCTCAAACATATTCAACTTACTGGTGCAGAAGGGGAGAGTGGACACCAATCATGATCCCCATATGAGCAAGTGTCAATACTAGCCTTTTTTGGGGACCCTTAAAAGTGGGCGTAGTGGTCCCCCTTGTAGTTTAGTAGTATACTCCCTAATATAGTCCCCAATAAGGAACCCATGTCCAAGAATTACATGGCGGCATATTGACAGTAGCTCATGTACTTAAGCCTACACTCTTTGTAGTAGTACCTCATCGACTAACTATCTTAAGCACCAGCCTGTCATGTCGGTCGAAGAAGAGCAGTTGTTCGCATTCTTGTGATGAAACCTCTCAGAAAACAAGAAAACAACTAAACCGCATGCATGGCGTCTTGACACGTACAGCTCTGATTTTTTTTTATTGGGAGAGGGCGGGTCTTTAAAATGGTGGGGACGTCCCAACGCACCCAACCCTAAATTCTAGACCCCCTAAACAATCCCTGCCGACAGCTTCTTACTCCCCCTCAAAACTCCAATCTGCCTAGATCGTGTAAGTAAGACCTTGGTAGAACCTGGGTTTAGGGTTTAGGGGTTTGGGGTTTAGGGTTTGGGTGTTTGGAGGGACTAGCAATAGATAGATAAGATGGGAACAGGCCATTTCTGCTATATTTCCTTGTAAAGGCTCTCAAAACTGGACACCCCCACGAAAAATCGCCCCTGCTTTGAGGGTGTATAGCTTTAAACCCTATACAACCCTAAACCCTGTTCGGGAAAGCAAGTCTGCACATTGCAGGACGCGAGAGCTTGGATCACTGCAAGCAGGCACAAGAAACGTTAGGGTTTAGGGGTTTAGGGTTTAGGGTGGCAAAGCACCTCCAAGTAACATTTCGGGGTGTAGGTTGCCAAGCAACCAACATACTGTAGAAGCCTGAACAACACGCAACTTTTCATATCCCTTTATACGTATAGACCTTATAAATGTCAAGTATAGTCTCACCCAAAACCTTATTCTAGTTATTCCGGCCCCTACAACAGCTCCTTGGGACTGAGGATGGGTCCAAGGCTTGGGGTTTAGGGATTAGGGTTCAGGAAGGGTGAGGGGCTAGGTTTTAGAGTTTGGGGATTTAGGGTTATTGGCCCTACTTGTTTTACTTGTTTGCTGGTTCCTAATCCCAATTGATGAGATCCCTCACCACACCACCACGGGGGAGTGGATTCCATCTCTCGTTCGTTGTACAACCCTGTATATCTCTAGAATATCTTCGATTCCTTCTTCTTGAACCCTTTACTGATTCCACATAACTCCTGGTGGAACCCCTTTCTGTTCTTCTCTTCTATAGTTCCAGAGCTCTTCCTGTCAGTCCTGATTTAGAACCCACAGACCCAAGCTCGACCACACCGCAGGGGGAGGGGTGCCGCCAGCGCGCAACCATAAATACGGGTTAGGGTGTAAGGTCGGGATCGGGGTTTTGGATATAGGGAAAAAGGCAAAGTATGACGACCTCACCCCACCTCACCCCAAATGGAAGTTTATATCGACACGGCCGCAGCATCTCCAGAAAATCTTCTTGGCGTCATCAATCAGCCAGTAAGTACGGGTGACCTAACTGGGCTAGGTTTTTGCAAGGCATTTCTGGCACCAGTGGTTGACATGTTCAAACGAAGCGTAGAGTTTTTGGACTGCAGCGTTGAGTTTGGATTGGAGCTTGGGGATGCCGATAAGGCACAAACCTATTGCATACAGGCAGCTGTAGTCGAGGTGTTATTCTTTATTATGAACATAGCGCGGAGCTGCAGTGTGGACATGATTTTGCTTTACAATCTGAAAGCACTTGCAGGAGCAGCACATCCGTATCAAACAGCAATCAGCAGATGGCAGTCCTTCCAAAAACAGCTGAAACCGCCCGCGAGGATGGCACGCCTCTGCATTACGCCAATTCTTGAAAGATGCACGCAGGGACGTTCAGATGGCAGGCGAGAAAAGGAAGAGCGAAGGTAAGAATAGATGGATAAAGATGGGAACAGACTGCGCGTGAACGCCAGCAGTGCTGGTATTCATCAAACGATGATTGTCCAAATGCGCGGTCAAAACGAGCTGTTTCCTTCAAAGCAAATGGGACTTCCTCCAAAGAATCCCGGTATGATCCTTATGTATTAATGTACCTCAGAATCCATTTGTTCTCGCAACGCAATTATCCCTCAGATCCTAGAGGAACCGCTGTTTCAAGAAACACCCAAGTTCCGTGCAAGCTTCTTCTGATGTGGAGGCCTGCCGAGAAAATCGCCAGCAGCTTACACTCTCTGCCCCTAAGATTGGACACCGCCAAACCTCTAATGCGAAATGCTCGCAATATGAGACCAGTTTTACTGGGAGACAAACATAGTGTTCAGGGCCTGGAGGTTTTACGTGTTAGGGGGAAGGGAGCATTCTGTGTTGGATGTCATGTGCCGGGCGAGTTGATTTGGTAGCGGCAGAACATACATCCCTTCTGTAGTTCACGGCTGTCATCGCATGACATTGCATGGTCAGGGTGCTAGCCTCCCAAACCTGTGCACAAGGGATGGTAACCCCATGGATGTTCTCAACGAAGCCCAAACCGTAAACTGAGACTTCTGCAACCTCATCAACTACCGCGAAAGCGCCCGGAACTGCGATCTTCGCTACTGCTTGAACGCCTCATCGAGTGGGACTCAGCCGTGGAAGTTCTTGACTGGGTTGCTGCCAGGAATTCAAATTAAGCCACTATAACAAGGAATCCTTTTTCTTCACGATATACCCAGATTATGGTAATTTTATTTAAGTTCCTTAATAGCAAGCCAGTTTACTGCACATGAAAGCTGGCTTGGGTGGAAAGGAACACAAGGAGCCCCAAATGCTCTCCCATGAATGGACATCCCCGAAACCAGCTTCAGGAGGTGAGTGGGATTCAAGGGTTAGGGTTCAGGGGTTCTGGTCTCGATTTCAGGGGCGTCGGCTTTCTAGGATGCAAACGTGTAGGCATTTTGAATGACTTAGCCCCACAAGGGCCAATGACCGATGAATTTAGTAGAGAGATGCATGTCACCAACAGCCCTGAATAATGCCAGTTTCCAGTTCATGTTCCATTTTCTTTTTCATTCTCCTTTGCCGGGGGGTAATATCCCTACACCCTCCATGATCCTCATACCACCTTATGCCCTATATAATATAATACCTACATAATCCCTATGTAATAGGTGGAGCCCTTGTCCCCACCCGGTGCAAAGGCCGATTCTGGGAGATAACCCCGATGTGGACGCCCATGCTCTCATTGAGTTCGACGACACAGCCTGGGGCTTGACAAAAGGGCTCAGGGTTTAGGGTTTGGTTTTAGGGTTTAGGTTGGGTACTGCCCCCACTCAGTAACAGCTGCATAATAAATATCATATTATTATATATAGCCCTTAATAGGACCCCTAATATAGACTACTGCTGGGTAGGGGCAGTACCCAAGGTTTAGGATTAGTGCTGATAGAATTGTGTGGATTGGAGGAAGGGATGCCGGCGGTGGTCCCTAAACAGTCCCTGTTGAGTTCCGAGAAGCAAACCCAGTATTCCAATGCTTCCTAACCCAAAGGATCCTAGGTATTCGTTCCTTTTTGTTTGAGGGATACTGACCCGCAGACCAGGTTACTAAGTCCTTATCTAGAAACCCTACTTAGGTTACCATACAGCAACTTAGAATCCTTTGGGCAACTTGCCACCTAAAAGTTTAGAGAGGACCCCCTATATGAGCTGTAGTCTAAAGTCTAAATTAATTGGGGGTTATATGGGGGGATTATATAGGGGACCACTATAGGAGTTATTAAGGGGGATACTAGGAGTTTCCACAAGGGCTCATATAGTGCTACCTGCAGCCTCCGGCGTAGGCGCCTGTTTGGGGTTTGGTATGGGTTTTGGTTTCAGTGGTTGTTACCCTCAACCCTAAACCGCGTAGGACTGCTAGGAACCCAGACTTACTGGCTGTGAGTAGGGAATAAGGGAATCTAATCCCTATATAATATATGGTCCCCCTTAAGTAGATAGAACATGGGGTATTTGGGGATCTGATCATAATATACCCAAAGCCATATTCTATCTACTTATGGGGGACTAGAATCCTTCTATAATCCCTATATAATATATTCCCCTATTCCCTCCTAAACCCTAGACCCGAAACCCTGGACTGCCTGGATCACGGAGAAAAGGTCCGAAACAAAATAAAAATGTAAGCACCAAGGGTTTCAGTTTGCAGGGGTCAAAGGCAGACCCCAGGCCGATGGTTAGGCTTCTGTGCCTGCATCTTCAATGCGGTTTCGGGCTTTGGGGTTTAGGGTTGTGGGTTTAGGGTTTTGGGTTTAGTTTAAGGTTTTTGGGCTTTGGGTTTTGAGGTTTTGGGTTTAGTGGAGGCTCTTAGGTTGAAATGGCGGCTAGAGATAGAGGCTGCGAATACCAAAGGAAATCCAAGGAGGGCAAAAATGGCAGGCTAGTGAGGAACAGCAGAGAAAGTTTGTCAATCCTTGTCCTTCCTCGGATTCTTGGGGTGGTCCCCAAATTCTTTACCATCCATTCCTTTTTTCCTGGGCGCCGCGGTGAAACCTTAAACCCCAAAACCTAACCCCTTAAGCCCTAAACCCTAAACCCTTGAGCCTTTGAGCCCTTGAACTCTTGAGCCCTTGAGCCCTTGAAACCCTTAACCCAATCTATACATAGCAGTTTCCATTTTCTTTTCCATTATCCCTATATATCCCCCATTATAATGTAGGGTAGCTTGCATTAGCGCCCTTGAGCCCTTGAAACACCTGCCCAGGATGAGCTTCTGGACCCGACGCATGATGGCTACGTCATGACTCGGGCTCAGAGGAGCTATAATCTAAGCTCCTTAAGAGGTGTTGTGTAGGGGATTACTATAAGGCTTAAGCAGGGGTGCTAGGAGTTTAGACTATAGCTCATACAGGAATATATTTTCTGAGAGGACGCTTGGTGCCCCTTCAAGAGTTCCACAGTGTCTACGCACGAATGCATGCTTTAGGGAGTTTTTACCTTCTCCAACAATAGCTAGTGGACTATCGCACCCTATTATAGATCGTCACAGGTCCATAGGGACATTGTTCATGAGGGTTTTTCTTCAGGTTTCATGTTTGCGTGGGAGAGGGTGCCCGGTGCACAAGCAGTGCCTGCCCTTGAAGCTGTGTCTCCTCAGCATGGATTATTAGGGATTTAGGGTTTAGGGTTCATTATGTCTAGGGTTCAAGGTTAAGGTTTAGGGATTTAGGGCTTAGGGTTTATTATGTCTGGTATGTGGCAGCCCCAACCTGAAAAAAGACATACTTTGGGGACCCTCAGTAACAGTTGGATAATAATTAGAGTATGCGGTTATATATGGCCCTTAATATGACCCCTCATATAAACTGTTATTGGGGGGAGTACTCAAAACATACTATTCCAAAAGGTTCTTTCCTCTGGAGGAGCCGGTAGGTCGCTGTATGGACCTTACAGCAGTACAGGATTAAGAGTTTCCCAAATTAAGAGGACCTCAATATAGACACCAAAATACTAGAATCCTTCAAATAGGGACCCCCTCAAAATGTTACCCCTGACTTTGGAAAGCCCATATGGGTTCATACGCCCGTGGCTGCACGCCGTCATGCCTACCAAGCTAGGTAGTGCGACGCCCAAGTCATGACCAGGTGATGTCCTATAGTCTCCTACATTTACCAGTAGTTGGGGGGTCCCCTTAATGGGGTTTACTGGGGTTATATGGGGATGTACAGGGTTTAGGTTTCAGGGTTTAGGGTCTCAGTTGTAGATAGAATCGCTTCCTGAACCCTGCACATACTTCAAACGGCTTAAACTACCGGGATACCCAGCAGCCCGTTAGCCCGAACTGAGCCCTAACCCATCATTCCCCATCATACAAAATTTGTCAGTACGAAGCAGCAGTCCGAATTTCAGACTGACTCATTGAGGTTTGGGGCACCAGATGCCGTGGGCGAAGGCAGGGTGCGTAAACTCAATCTGAGTAGTGTTTTATTTGGGGATACTATGGTGCCCAATGTAGAGTAAGATTATACCCTCCTTTTGGGGTATGGTATTTTACATGAGGAATATAGTCTTGATTGTCTGGTTTAGGTTAGGGGGTTCTCGTTTCGGGTTCAGGGCGCAGGGTGCTGTAGTTGAGTGTTAGGGCTTGGAGCACAAGGAAGCCATTAAATCGTCCGTGCAAAGCCCTAAACCCTAAGGAATCTTGTTTTGATGAGGTGTGGGATGACAAATGCTTGTTGATCCTTTGATGCGCCTGGAATGAAACAAGGTTCATTAGGGTTTCAGGTTTACAGGTTTAGGGCTTAGGGTTTCCGATGAGGTTGTGTGCCATACCCAAGAAAGAGTGGCGGAGACAGAGACACGGACCAAGAGAGGGAGCATGACATATGTAAGGTGTCACAGCTGGATGGGATGTATGTTGTCTGTACGTATCCAAGCACTCCGACCAGTAAATACCGACTTTTTTCTACTGGTCTAAACTGTTGTTCCTATGCAGGTATCCCTCAAGGCCTGCGCGTCCTCTTCCCGGGCATTGGCTCCAAAGTGCCACCAGCCAGGTAGAGGGGTGGGTACCAACTCCACAAGCGGGGCCTCGCGGCCACGCCGTCATGATGCAATTCTACAAGCTACATAAAACCCAAAACCTAAGTAGGAGTTTCCATTTTCTTTTTCCATTATCCCTATATGGACGCAATAATATACCCCATATTCTATCTACTTCACAAAAAACTATAACCCTAAACCCTAAATAGTAGTTTTCCATGTTCTTTCCCAGTATCCCAATATATCCCCCCCTATATATCGCTAAACCCTAAACCCTAGATAACACCATTGTAGTAGTTTCCATGTTCTTTTCCATTCTCCCTATGTAAGCTTTCTCCACTCCCTCAGGTTTGCCCTGGAAGCCCCGTCTCCTCTACTAAAGACCCTATAGTTAAAGATAGGCACAGGGTCCTCATTGCTTGTAGGTTGGGGAACCAAGATCTAAACCCTATTAGCCCTTATAAATCCAATAGACCCTAAACCCTATTAATGCTATAAGCCCTAAGCCCTATAAACCTTATAAACCCTATAAGCCCTATAAATCAGACCCTAAACAATATAAACATTATCAACCCGAAACCCTATCAGCCTTATCAACCCTAGAACCCTATAAGCCCTACCTGTAACCCCAAAAACCTACAGTTTGATGGGTTATACCCACTAATTCAGGGGTTCTTACTACTAAACTGTAGGTTTTTGGAGCCACAGGTAAACTCTCAGTGTTATTGCTTTTCGGGCCTGTGCAGGTGGCATCGCCTATGGTGGATGCGCTGCAGGCCGGGATGCCGTGGCCTCAGTTTTTAATAGGGTTTTAAGAGTGTTTAGTTTAGGGTTTAGGGTTACATAGGCCTCGAATTTCTGCTTGTGTGCCGTAGACCAAGAAAAGGCCATTTCTGACTGGAAACGTGCCGTTTCTGGACCATCCCGCCTTTTGTGGTCGGAAATTGTAAAATTTGCCTCGAATTTCTGTTTCTGGGCCGCGTAAACCAAGAAAAGGTAATTTCTAACTGGAAAACGGCCGTTTCTGGACCATCCCCTTTTGGGGCCGAAATGGCAAAATGGGCGTCCAATTTCTGCTTGTGTGCCGTAGACCAAGAAAAGGCCATTTCCAACTGGCAAAAGGCCGTTTCTGGACCATCCCCACTTTTTGGGCCCGAAATGGCAAAATGAGCCTCGAATCTCTGCTTGTGTGCCGTGGACCAAGAAAAGGTTTTATCTAGGGTTTTTTGATGGTCTTTAGGGCATCATATTTGGGTTATGTTTTAAATGGTACTTTGTCCAAACAAAAGGGGACCCCAACACAGACCCTAACATATTATAGTCCCTCTTATGGGGACCCCCAAAAAGGTAAATTGGTTTTAGGGGTTAGGATTCAGGTTTTCGGGCTTTTGGGTTGGTTATTCGGTTTTACGGGTAGGGGTTTAGGGGTTAAGGTTTATTAGGGTTTCGGGTCAGGGCTTAAGGTCTGGTAGGGGTTAGGGTTTAGGGTTTTCCAGCGAGGCTGCTATAGGGTTCAGGGTTTCCGAAATTTAGTTGTACCTTCAAATGACTTGATAGAGGTTATATAGCGGCATATAGGGATCAGGGCTGCAACCAAAATTTGGGGTGCGTTTGGGGGAGGGTCCCATAATGAGGGTTGTCATTTGTTGGGGTGTATGTGCGGGCATCCCTATTTACGGGAAGGGGAAGTATTATGTGCGGGCTTTAAACATGTGGGCACCTTGTGGGGGCCACTTTGTAAATTGGTTATTCGGGGACTCTCATTAGAGGAAATAGAGCTATTTTCAGGTCCAGTCTGCTGCGCACAAGATGGGAACACTAAAGCTGTATGAAACCCACACCCCCACGTTCCCAAGAGCCGCGAGAGCAGTCTCCAGATTGAGTACGGCAAGGTCCCCACATTCGAATCCTAAACCCCTAAACACTCTAACCGAAACCCCTTAACCGGCAAAACCATTCCGCCCCTCCTCCAATTTTGAAGCCATAGTTCCCTTTCCAAGGTTCCTACCGCAGGCGTATGGATCACCATTCCTGAGACGCACCTGCCCAGGAAAGGGGGTAGAGGTGAAGTTCTAGGGTTTTAGGGGTATGGGGATTGTATAGGGGGTTCCAGGATTCTAGGGATTATATAATTATATAGGGTTATAAGGGAGTAGATAGGAATGACCTCCGACTTGGGTTGATCCCAGCATGAAGCAACCGCCACCGCTGCCACCGTCACTAGCACCACCACCAGCAGCTGTAGTAAGTACTCCTGGGTTTAGGGTTTATGGGGGTTTTCGGGAAGGCTGGCCGGCTGTGCGCAGAGCGTGCTCAAAAAGGTACATATTCTCATAGAATCCCATATTGAGAAAGGTACAGATTTGACGTTGGGGGTGAGTGGGTGTGGGGGGTGGTGTTTTGTGTGAAGGGCAAGTGATCAAGGGAACCGGCAACAGATACTCTGAACAACACACAGGGGCACTGTGCCCTTTCCGTTGAAAGCTACGCAGTACCACGCCATAAACCCTAAGCTACGAACACGTGGGGCTTTAACAGCTTAGGACCCCTAAACCCTAAACCCTAAGGCTACCAACGCGTGGGGCTTTAACAGTTGTGTGATCAGTCTTGAGGTTGTGAGGGCGAATGGCACTTGGGGGTTCAGGGTTTAGGGTGAGGAGGTTAGGGTTTAGGGCCGTCCAGAAGCCGCAGAGGTATCAAATGCCCGCAAATCACCAGCAGCACTGGAGGTGCATTGTTATCAGTTTCAGTCTAGTAGTGTTATGAGTTATAAGTATGATATGGTATACTACTTGCAGTATCAGGATCACTGTGAAAATCAATATGTTTGACTAATTGTGTTTTCGGTACTTTGGCTGTCGTATACCCTGACGTCCTGAACATGTAGTACATTTGAAGTAGCTCGGACATGTTTTGGGAGATGCTTTATACGAATGACCTTTGAATGGTCAAGGAGTACGGTGACTTAATTGTCTCAACCCTCTGAACCGCCACCCCTCAGCCTATAGCCAGCACAGCCGATACCCACAGAGCGTGCCCCCGAAAATTCCAGAACTCTACATCCCCTGCCTTAAAACTCAAAACTACCTGAGAACCAACCCTGAATCCTTGGAATTTTCCTGGTCTAAGCTCTGTTGCAGATTGTAGGGTATAAAATTTCATATACTCGGTATATAAGGACCCGAGGATTAAGGGCCCATGCTAGGGGGCCATCGGCCAACCTAAGACCTGAGCCATATCTTGAAGGACCCGAACGCTGCGGTGGCAGGTGGCACAAAGCCAGGAGCACAGAAAACAGAAATCTGTTAAACATGCTTTTTAGGTGGGTACTCCCCCCAATCTTATACATAGCCCTTAATATGACCTCTCTATATAGTTTGTTACAGGGTGGGAGCAGTACCCAACTTTGTAGGGTTTGCCGGCTTTCAACTCCCAATGAAACACCTCGGCGTAGTTTTTCGGTGAGGCTCCAGCGTCGATCCGGTAGTTTCCCAAAAGGGCGGGGCCAATATACGATTATCCTGCTTATAGTCACCCACCAAAAAGGTACGCTCGACATGTTTGTGCAGCGAGAAAGATGGCAACAACTCAGGCTATCGTCCTACGTACTGGGTAACTTATGGCAAAACAAGAAGACTGTAGGAGAGGAACCTCAATAGTATTCGCCAGATCCAGTGATTAAAGCTAGACCCCAAACCCAAGCAAAGATGACACGCACACATTGATAAAAGTACCAAGTCTTGGCCAGACCAAACCCCAAGTGATGGTGCTTAGTCAGCAGGCTCCACGGCGTTTCGCGGCGCAGATCCTGCTTAGGGTGTAGAGCTTTGAGTTTTGGGTTCATTTATACATTCATCTATGAAGGCGGTGCTTTGAGCCTTGGGACTGAACTCATGCCTGCGCTTCCCAAGGTGTGCCCTTGTTTCTGGTTAATTGAGATACAGACAGATACAACATTCTAAGGTCCGATGCCCTTCGCACTCAACTGGCACTCAACCTTTCAACGAAGCATTGAAATGCGTTTGAAATCTTGTAAGCTTTGAACACGATCCGAAGTTTCAAACCAACATCGTTGAGCCAGAGCGCTCAGATACCTATACTGGAGGAGTTTGTTGGGGGGGGGGGGGGGGGGNNACGTTGCAAAACAAGCGGTTTCTTCTGGGACCTCCTATAAGATGGCCTATAAGAAGGACGGGGCATAGGGGGACTCCCAATTAAGCTCGTGTAGCTCGCACAAGCAGTCTGTTTCTCAAGTAGGCAAGCCCGAGTTTGGGTCCGGAACTGTTAGGGATTTCATTGAGGTTCATTTGGGCGTATGTCCAGACAATTGTGATTACAGCTCCTGTGGATAAAGCCATCCGAAACCTATGCATCATAGCTTTGCAGAAGCAAGAAAGCGCGCACCCGGCTCAACTCCCATGGCGACGTGCTGAAAGCCTCTAGATTCGTGCTTCCCCTCTCGCGGATTCTTCGAGCTATGGTTCTGTTGCGCATCCACGGCATCAGTGGCTCATCCTTTGAACTCGAAGCTGGTGATGCTGCAACATTGCAAGAAGTATCGGAGGCCATGACGCGTGGGAGTCAGGAGGGGAGCAGGAGGAACCGTCGTTGAAGCCACGGTAGGTATCCTTTGTATGTTTTAGGGTATGAGTTTCCCTATTCAGGGGGCTCAAAAGGTGGGACAAAGCTAGGTGCCCCATTGAGCAGCAGCCAAAACCCCCCATGCGGAGTCCTATATAAACATGAAAGTAATGCCTGGCCGCGTCAGCTTAGTTCGCGCCAGTACAGTCTTAGAACGATGCATCCGCGTCAGCTATTCCTTGTGCGCGTCAGTAATGCGACTGCTGGCCGTGATAGCGCGACAAATGGGAACAAAAGGTTCAAAGGGCTTAGGCAAAAGTTCTATTGTAGATTCTATTATGTTGGGGCTTATTTCCTTTACGCCACCTACCTTCATCCCACCTTTTGAGCCCCCTGAGAAGTAGGGACCGATCAGGTCATTGCTGCTAGGGCTGGCGTGACGGCTTCGAGACAGCTGGTGCTGAGGTCTGGCGGGGTGTTGAGCAAACATCAGGAGACCTTCAGGTATGCCCCTAAACCCTAAGTGGGGGTTTCCCAAATGTAGGGGTACCCTTTTTGGGGTCCCCATATTCAAGACTTTAGTATCTTGTGGTTGGGGTCTCTTGTTTTGGGAAACTACTAAGTATGCTCCAAGGGTGAGTTGTTAGGGTTCTGGATGTCTCACATTCTTGGATGAGTTTTTGGCTGTCTTCACACGTATCCTATACCATGCTGCGGGTACCAAAGGTCCCTAAACCATCACCCCTTAGTGCACATGCGCAGGTGGGATCACCTTGGATGCTTCCATGCCGCTTATGGAGCAGGTCACTGGTGCGTACTTGACGGGTCGTAGGGGGAATTGTCTGGCCGGCTTAGCGTTTCCATTGGGTGGCGCAGTAGTGCCAGGGATATTAGTCAGACATGTCCTGTTGCCATCTAAGTTGCGAGGGCCTGGGCATGAACTTCATGGTGGCCCCATATGGGCTAGAGTCTAAACTCCTCAAATAGGGGGTTATCTAGGGGATTATACGGGGCATCACTACAAGGGTTATTAGGGAGGATACTAGGAGTTTAGATTATAGCTCATATACACCCCAATACTCCAAAGACTGTGCACTCCTCGTTGGGCCCGTTTCCCGCGGTTATAGGCAATTCCCAATAGCAAGCAAGACTTGGAACGAAAAAACGAGAAAGGGCATAACACTTCCTCGCGTCGCGTTCTCGGCCAATACTTTGGACCATGCAAACCATAGTGTAGACCATCAACCCTAACTAAGTAGTAGTTTCTATTGTCTTTTCCATTCCACCTTTGTATATGACCCTGTATTCTTCTAAACTATTTCCAGGAATTGCCCGGAACCCCGGAAGAACGAACATCCCTTGAGATGGTAGTAGGGATCCCAGCATGAGGGTCCGCGGTTTCTTCCTGGATCACTGGCTCATTCTTAGGTATAGCTTTCCTAGAATGCTGCAACCCCAGGACGAACATGGAATCAGGATGAACCATGATGTTAATGAGGTTCGCATAGGGAACCACATGAAACCTAAACCCTAAACCCTAAATACCCCTAAACCCTAAACCCTAAATACCAATGTTCAGGTTCAAGATGATGAAATCACGTTTCTCGTGCAACGGGTTGGCGCAGGTCATGCGGCTCTAAGCTTCTGGTCACAGCTGGTACAGTAGGGGCCTATAATCCCCGTTAAGTAGATAGAATTTGGGGTATATGAGGATCTTACTATAATTTGCAAAAGCCATATTCTATCTACTTAAGGGGGATTATACATCATGGCCAGTACACTTTTGAGGTCGGTTTGAGGTATCGTGGACGCAAATTAGGGCTACCTTTTTGCGGTCCCCATAATAAGGATTATAGTGTTTTGGGGTCTATATTGGGGTCCCCCTTTTATGGGAAACTACCATTTAGACTTCTACGTTGCCACACAGGACGGCGTATCAGTTGCAGGGCAGTAACGGCATCCTCGAACTGAATCCCGTGAACCTCAAACACATTTTCTACGTAAGCGCGGTAAACTCTATTAGCGTTCCAAACTGCCCATTCTCCACAGTACTGTCTCTTATATGGAGTTTTATATATATATATGTATAAATTTGAAATAGGGATAATGGAAGAGAGAGCGGAAACTACTACTTATGACTGTCTAGGGTGGCAAAAGTTTAGGTGGGCTACTCAGCTATGCAAGATCCAAGATGGCCTGAACCCCGCTCAGAAGTCACTTTAGGGGTTCGGGCTTAGGATTTGGGGTTAAGGGTTTAGGACTTAGGGTTTACCCTAAAGCCTAAACCCNNCCCTAAACTTTCAGGATTTAGGGTTAAGGGTGTCAAGATGAACTGGGCCCCTACGCAATGACCCAGGCTTCGCGCGCTTGTTGCAATGCAAAGGGGCCTGGCTCGGTAAGGCGCCATTTGGCAGTGCAGATCCTTGACTGTGGGTGTAGGGATTTAGGGTTTAGG